CCTTGTTTCCTAACAAGACTTCTCCGTTGCTTCTCCTCATTTGCTTGGGGCTTACACCACTATTTCCCAACTCTTTGGATTGATCAAGACAATTTCCCACATTCCCATTATGAACCTCATTACCCACCACCGCAATAGGGGTCGCCACCAACGGAGTCTCTTCCACTATCTCTTCCACTGGCACCAGAGGCAGCTCTTGACTTTGTTGCCGCCTGTTGTCCATCTCCCACGCACTTTTTGAAGAAGACCGAACATTTTGAGATGAAGTAGCTGCCTGACTCAGATCACCCATCACCATATTATCAGGGCTAGGAAGAATCCTTGCCTTTTTTCAGGTCCAATTGGCGTTGGTGACTCATTGAGGGTTGAAATATTGGCTATAATGGAAGGTTATGAGGGGCAAGGAGTTGAATGTTCGGAAGTTGATTATTGAAGGCAACTCAAATTTAGTTATAAGCTGGCTGCAAAAGGAGGAAATGGGATGGTGGAATTATGTTTACGAAAAAGGAAATTAAAGCGGGTGACACTTGGAATGGAAGTTAGGTTTCAATGGGTTAAAAGAGATGCTAACTCCTTTGCTGATGCATTGGCTAAACAAGGGGTGGGAAGAGATCGGCCAACTCCTTTCTCTCTCTCTAGGAGAGCTAAGAGAGTTTATCTCTCCCAGTTCTGATTGTATTGTTTCTTTTATCCTTTTATCTTTTAATGAAAGTGCCCAATTATTGATAAAAAAAAGATTAAAGAAATTGAATCTGGAATGACATGGACACAGGAAACAAAGCCACAAGATTCCAAATCAACCATATGTAAATTGGTGGGGAGGAAAGGTCTGCGAGCTCTGAAGGTAGGGGTTCTAGATGCTGAGTGGTTAAGTCTGTTGAATTGAATGAATCTCCTCAAGATCACGGGGAGAATATGCCCTGAGAGTCAAGGAAAACAAATTGTTTAGAAGACTGTTGTCTTGACTTGTTAACAAATCCTGCATTTGTAGGGGGAAATCTGGCCATGTGGACATACACAACCTTAGGGATATTCTTCGACCACTCCTAGTTAACTGGGGCACCAGATGCTAGGTGGCTTCGGTGGGGACACACACGGAATGGGAGATCAGGTACTGGCCTATGACAGCTTTCCCTGATGCCATTCTCCCACTTTCACCACATGTCACAATCTTGAGGTCAGTATTTGCCACACATTTTTTTTTGAAGATAAACAAAAATAAACCTTATAGATGAAGGGAAAAAGAATACAACAGGGTGATAAGGAATCACCCAAACAAGAACGGACCTAAATATGGCAGTCCCACCCTAACAAAATTAGCCTTTTAAACAGAAAAACAGTCCTACAATACTTTGCATGCATTGCATGTTGTTTCTTGTGGAGCGAGTTGCAATACAATCTTGACGAAGCCGAGAGAGAGATAGAAGTGGCGAGAAGGATTTTTCGTACCAGTGAGAAGATGGGGAAGCAAAATACTATTTGGATAAAAAAGATTGTTGGAGGAAGGGAAGATTTGAAGCCAACAGGTTCTGAAGATTAGGGAGGAAAGAAAGGCGTCTATTATCCTAATTGGAGAAGCTATTTCGTGTTTGAAGGGTTTCATTGACAGAGCAATCTTCACTGTTAAAAATGATGGATGGAGAAGTTCGCTGGAGCTTTCAAGGAGGAAATATTAGGTGTTGTTGAAAAACAATCACAAAGGATGGTACGCGGAGGTATCAGAAACTTTCAAAGATAACAGGAAACAAATGATCTGTATTCCAGAAGGAAAACAAGGACAGGGATGGAGGTTAATGGCGTAGAGAATCCAGGATTTCTTACTGACTAAAGAAGAAGAACTGAAATCTTCTATTAATGAGAAACTCTAAATGATGATCAACGATAGAAAATATTCAGAAATGATTACTCCCAATTCGAAAGGAATGTTTGAGGCAGAGGTCCATCGGCGAGAAGAAGTACACCAACAATATATGGTGGTAAATTCATGTAAGTTGCAGAGATTAATTCTGGAGAGTGATAAGGTGATTGGGAACGTAGGCTGATTTGTTAAGGCAGGAAGAAGGGTGGCTAATTGGCGAATAATAATCAAAGCTATTATGGGTAAGCTACAAGTTAATTTGGGGTAACAGTTTAGGCTTTCGGTAATTGTAGAGCTTTTCTATAAACAGGGGAGAAGATCATTGAATTTTGAACATTGGATTAAGGATCAAAATTTCGACATGTATCAGTGGCCTCCTGATATGCTCCTACAGTGGGTGTTTTGGGGTCTGACCTGGTTCAGGGGGTAGATGGGCCTTAAACCGACCCCTTTTAACATGGTTGAAAAAAAAACAAAGGAAGCGAGCCTCGACACTCTCCGATACGCCCCAACCGACGTATCGGACTGTATTGATATTTTTAACCTTGCATTGGATTCTCTTTTCTGTACGAGTTTGTTGTATTAGGTTGCAATTCTGTGTTTGTAGTCTAATTGTGCTTACAAACTGGCTTCGTGCTTCTTGTTAGGACATTCAAATGGTTATATGTGGCTTCGTCCATTAGCTCAAGTTTGTGTTGTTTCCTAGTGTTTTGGCAATTCTAGTAGAGATAAGCTGAATTTTTGTAGGCAACATCTCTTCGCCATAAACTAGGGAATAGGGAGTGGTGCCTGTGGCTTTTAGCTTTGTGGTCTTGTAGCCCTAGAGGGCGCTTGATAGCTTGTCTATCCAGTCCTTTTGGTTTTCGTTGATAATTTTGCTCAAAATTTTGAGGATGGCTTTGTTTGTGATCTCGGTTTGTCTGTTTCCTTGGGGGTGGTAACTTGTAGAGTTTTCTATTCTCACCCCACACTGGCCTAGCAGATGGAAGACATCACTATTGTTGAAGGAAAGGGCATTGTCAGTTAGGACTCACATGTGGAAACCAAATCTGTGGATAATGTCTGTTTGATGAAGTTGGCTATATTAGCCAACATAACCTTTACCCACTTGGTAAAGTAATCTGTTGCAATCAAGATCCAGTAGTAGACCCTAGAGGGAGGTGTGACTTTTACCTATGAGGTCCATGCCCCAGGTGTGGAAAGGCCAAGGAGTGGTGATTGAGTTTAATTCTTGGGTGTTTGTTTATAACTGAGCCATGGATTTGGCATTGGTGATAGGTCTTGACTTGGTGGGTTGTGTCTTAAAGCATGGTTGGCTAGTAAAATCTCAGTTAGAGTTGTCGCTCGTATACTTCATGTTGGCCTTGGTGGGTAGTTGGGTTATGGGTATTATTCATGAGCGAGTTTTAGTGTTGTGGGAATTTTGTCCTAGCTTATGCATTGAAGTGACTTGCTTCTGAATGATCTTCGAAATAAGTTCTTTGACGAGGTAGAATCGCAGGGCTTTGTGCTTTAACTTTTTCATGTGTTTTCAATCAGTAGACAAGGATCCATCGAGTAGGTAGTTGATGTATGGTTTTCGTCAGTTGGTGGGGGAGAGTGTGAGTAATTCTTCTTGGTCTATTTGTGGTAGTCAATTGAGGCATTTGGCTTGGCACTCTCAGGCGCTTGCTCTCATTTTGGGCTAGTAATATCCCAAGCATTGCAGCTTCCTATAATGTATTGTCATTTGGTTACCACTGCATTTATTGTGAAGCTCCTGGAGGACTTGCTGTCCTTATAGTGTAGGATGTTTGGAATTTTGTGATAGCTTTATCCTTTGGTGGGATCTCCATTGTGTTTCGTAGCTTTTGCAGGATTTGGAATCTCTATTCAGCTCCGCTAACAATGTTTGGGTGCTCAACTAGATACTCCAATTCTTTTGGGACAGATTTTTTCTCTTCGGGATAGCCAGTTCCTGTATACCAGTTCTTCTGGGATTGCACAGGCTAATTATAGACAGGGACTTTCAATTGGTGATCAATTAGATACAAAGTAAAGGGCATGTTTTTTGGAAGTATCATAATGAGCTAAAGAAAATTAAATGGCTTTCTAGGAATATGGATGTGAGATTCCAGTGGGTCCAAAGGGCAGCTAATAGTATGGCTGACAACTTGGCAAAAACAAGGGGTTGGGAGGAATCATTTGTTCTGGGCTCAATTGTAAAGATTTTAGATTGTGGAGATAAGCCGTTTTATCTCCATTTGTATTGTATGCTTTCATTATCACTTTAATTAATGAAGTTTCAGTTATTGATAAAAAAAATCTTTAAAACCTGATTTGTATCAAGAGAATCTGGTTGTACTGATCCCAAAATCAAACATCAGAAGCAACATGTGTGCCTGGCATCCTGGTATGCTCACACATCAAACAAATTCTCCCTGTTGAGATTGTAATAACTAACCTAGAGATCACAAATTCAATACAGCATATTTCTGTCAATCATAAATGACACAAGTGCTGTAACTCCTTTACTTACTCTTTTATTAAGTTCTACTATTGGTAATGAAAATAGTTGGTATTATAAGACAGTTTATGGTATTATGCCAATCAAAATGGGATAAGATATATGTGTGTGTGTGTGTATACTTTGGTTGGGGTTTTTTCAAACCAAAAAATCATCTATATGAGCTAATGAGATTGATTCTGTTATTATATCTATATTGACCTTTTCTTTAATTATTTCTAATTGATTTATTTTGTCATTCTTTATCCTTCTCTCCTTTCTTCCTGATATCTGCATATCTTGGAGGTGAAAATGACTTTTTTTTTTTTTTAATTTTTTTTTCATTGGATGCTTTCTGCAGTATTTCTTGTATCAGATTCTCCGTGGGTTGAAGTACATACATTCTGCCAATGTTCTGCACAGGGACTTGAAACCTAGCAATCTTCTCTTAAATGCTAATTGCGACTTGAAGATATGTGATTTCGGACTTGCGCGTATTACCTCTGAAACTGATTTCATGACGGAATATGTTGTTACAAGATGGTATCGGGCACCAGAGCTACTGCTAAACTCATCAGAGTATACTGCAGCAATTGATGTATGGTCCGTGGGTTGCATTTTCATGGAATTGATGGATAGAAAACCCTTATTTCCTGGCAGAGATCATGTGCATCAACTCCGTTTACTAATGGAGGTAAATTCATCATTTACCACATTATTCTTTGTGATGATATTATTTATATGATTTTAGTTACAGTAAGAGATGTATAAACTTACACTACATTATTGTTATCTGAGAAGGCCTCACAATTGCGGAAGAGCAATTTGTCCACTATGTCATTGATGCACATATAGAAACTGTACAATACTATATGCACAAAGAACAAGTGTTTACTCAGTTACTACAAAAGCTTGCCATACTCTTTTGTTAAATTTTTTAGGTGATCCCATGTTCTATATTTGACAGCTTATTGCTTTATTAATTCCTCATAAATTCTGTATCTAGTTTTGCCATTAATTATCATTCATTATATTGGCCTCCATAGTTGTCCAAGTGTCTAGGCAATTCTGGGCAACAGTGGGTTACGTTGTTACTAGGAAATTGACCCAAAACAACTTCTATTTGTTTTACAACTAAGACATTTCTCGATTTGTGCATGTAATCCTTGCTCAGGGGCCATGCTAATGTTCTCTGCATTCTTACAACTAAGACAAATCCACAGGTAACCCATAGTGACACTTAAATAAGGACTCCAACTCCTAAACAACTCTAATAACACTTCTATTCTCACTAAAACTAAATTTAAAGACACCAGAAATTCCTGTAAGTAGTAAACCACGTGTTTCTAAAAATAGTAATTACTAGAGTACTATAAATAGTAAATCTGGAAGTTACCATAAATAGGAATTTCAAACTAGCAATAAAAATCTAATTCTTAAGGCACCAACAACTAGAAAATAAATAAAGAGCTGAATAGTAACAATATCCTTTAACCCAAAAATTTTGAAATTGGTATAGGAATTGGAGAATTGGTTTGTTTGCCCATTAATTCTTTCCTTGCTTCTGCTTCTGCATCAACAATTCTTGAGACTTTCAGTTCTGAATGTTCTTCCTCAGTTTGGGAGTACAAAAAGCCCAGTCACCTGTTATTAGGAACCAGTCCTTGAGAAGAGCATTCTCCTAATCTATCAAATTGAAGGTCTGAATGGGATCAACTAGGAGATCTTCTGCCACAGCCACACCATTTGTCTTTCGAAAATGAAATTTTGTTACCTCTGTCAGGTTTAAGTTTTATGGATTTGGAGAACTCCTGGTAAGTTTTCAATACCCTTTCCAAATGCTTGAGCCATAGGCCTGTTGGGGGAATGAGAAAACTAGTCCAACTCATTGCCACCGTATTTAGCTTTCATTAGTTTCCTCCATAGCATATCTTTCTCAAGGCTATATCTCCGTAGCCATTTTCCCAATAAGGCTGTATTCATGGTCTAGAGAGGATGGATGCCAATCCCACATGTCCCTTTTCGGGTGCAAACCTGACTCCATGTCACAAGGTGAAACTTTTTAGGGTCATTTATACCTTCCCACAAAAATTTATTTTCAGCTTTTCCAATTGATTGATTATTGAAGCTGATTCAATAAACAAAAACAGAGAGATATTACTTTGGGCGGTTTGATAAGGTACTTTTAATGAGAGTTGACTCTTTTTTGGAGACTGGGCCTATGTTTTCTTTTAATCTTTATTAATGAAAAGGCAATGATAGGTTTTTTGTGGGATTTGGGGGAAGTAAAAAAGGACCACTTGATTAGATGGGAGGTAGTTAGTTGAAGCAAGGAAGAAGGGGGTTTGGGGATAGGGAATTTCGTTCATAGGAGTGAAGCTCTACTAGGAAAGTGGTTGTGGAGTTGGCCTTTGGAGAGAGAGAGGTTATGGCATGAGGTGTGGCTAGCATTCATGGTGTTTGCTGGAACACAGCAGCAGCAGCAGCAGCAGCAGAAGAAGAAGAAGAAGATTTGAGAATGGCGGCTTACTCACTTCAGCCGGCCCTACAATCTTATATAGATGTTTACAAAATAATGTTACATGAATGGACTGGAATGCCCCTGATTAGTGATGGGACACCTAGACAAATAAAACATTAAAACAAGTTTAGACCCAATAACTAAGGACTTAAGACACAAATATGACTAACATAAACACTAAACCAGCCGAATCAACACTCCCCTTCAAGCTAAGCATGGATGTCAATCATGTTTAGCTTGCCAAGTAAGTCTAAGAATTTCGTTGAAGCTAGTCATTTTGTTAGCACATCTGCAATCTGCATCTCGGAAGGAGTATAAGGAATGCAGAGTTCCCCTGAGACTATTCTTTCTCTAACGAAGTGTCGGTCAATCTCAATGTGCTTCGTCCTATCATGTTGCACTGGGTTACTTGCAATGTTGATGGCAGCCTTGTTGTCACAGTACATCCTGAGAGGACACTCGACCTTTATCCCGAGCTCACCAAGAAGGGTCCTAAGCCACAGTAGTTCAGCAACACCATGAGCCATAGCTCGACATTCAGCCTCTGCACTTGATCTAGCAACCACATTCTGCTTTTTACTTTGCCATGTAACCAGATTCCCTCCAACAAACGTGCAATACCTAGAAGCAGACTTCCTGTCTCCAACAGAACTAGCCCAATCTGCATTAGTATACGCTTCAATTTCAATTTTATTGTGTTTTTTTGAACATAATTCCTTTTCCTAGGCAAGTCTTCAAGTACCTAAGAATCCTTTCCGCTGCTCTCATATGAGGAATCGTTGGAGAGTGCATGAACTGACTGACAACATGTACAGCATAAGCAATATCTGGTCGAGTGAGAGACAGATATATCAACTTCCCTACCAGTTTTTGGTATTTCTCTTTATCAAGGTAGTCCTCTCCTACTGATTCCTGTAGACCATGGTTCTGTTCTATTGGCGTATTTGCTGGCCTTCACCCCATCATACCTGTTTCCTATAGAAAATCAAGAACATACTTCCGTTGACATATATAGATGCTTTCTTGTAACCTAGCAACTTCAATTCCAAGGAAGTATCTCAGATGACCCAAGTCTTTGATCTCAAACTCAGAAGCCAAGAACTCCTTTAATCTTTTTATCTCTTCTAGATCATCCCCTGTAATCACCATATCATCCACATAGACGATGAGT